CTCCCTAACGCCTTGGTTACTATGCGACGTATGATGGTTCCCTGAAAAAAAAACCCCCAATGCGACCTCACTGTTGGCGGGAAACAACAGCAGCCCAAAGTTCAGTCGAAAGCTTTCTCTAGCCGCTTTCGATACTACTCAAATAGTATACACGCACACACCCTTCGGAACCTGGCAAAGTGGGAGGAGGAGGAGCATGGGAAAAGATAACCCGGAAATTCTTCCAGACATGCGAAATCCAGTTATGCAATGATGCAATCGTTTGAGCAAAAAGAATCTCCGCTAAAACAAAACACGCGACTACAACCAAGTCTGGAAAAACGTTGCGTAGCTTCATGGAAACGGCCGGGTGGGAATATTGCCTTCGAGCTGTGGCATGATTTTGAGGATCTTGGGGTCCATGGTCCAGTTGGCCAAATCGGTAATGGTGCTTTCAAAAAGGGGAGTCATCCGTGAGTATCCAGCCTCAATGTCCCAGTAGTGACATGCATCGTCGGCATGTGGCCATTTGATGCCAATCTGGCTAATGAAATGGCTAACTGAGAATTCCTGGGGGTGTTGATATAGCAACTGTCGTACCTGAGGCCTGGACAACGACATTAGCATGGACAGATACCAAGGGTGGAAGAAAAAGCACTGTCGATTTCATGGTGGGAGAAAGAGCAAGCCAAGTGTTGTGAATTAGAGAAAGAGTGTGGGCACAACATACCATGGAACAAGGTCGATCAGCATGTCGTACGGCGAATTTTCCTGCTTCCCCACTGTCGGCATCATCCAATCCGGGTTCCCGTTCATGTTTTCGGCACTCGGCCAGATGAGATACTGGAGACTGGATCAGACACGGTCCTTTGCGAAAATGGTTCATCTCAGTACTTACCCGCATCAACTTTGTAAGGAGCCAAGTGGCCGCGAGCCGGACTGGAAGAGAGGCTGTTGGCAAAATTCTATTGCAAGCCCTTGCGCACCATGTCGAGACTGGATGCGCATCTTGCATGTCCATGAAGCCAAGCAACAAAGTATCCACGTCAATTTCACATCGGCCAAATATCTGCACCTCACTCCACCCGTTGGCAAGAAGATCCCGCTTTGTCCGCCGGTAAAATGCGCAGTCGAAACTGAACTTGCTCAGTGCGTTTGTTGAGTCTTCGAGAGTCATCGGCGATGGGTTCATCGCTACCGTGCCATCAACAGAGGTTGCGTCGTGCGAAAAGACCAATGACGAATGACTTTGTGCTCGGCTTGGGGGTTTGGGTCAGCGGTGGGTTCACTTGTAGCGCGGGTAACCAATTACCTGTCTTCCCGAGAAGACTCGCCATATGGCGAGGCGCCCATGTGATGGGGAGCGGTAGCAAAGGCCTCGCTACCAGGCGTTCCGAATGAGTCGCCTTCTGGAAGAGCTGGTGTCGGACCCGCCAAGGACTCGTGGTTTGATCCTAGGAGCGGCTCATGTGGATCCCCCGTCATGGGTCCTGAAAGTGCCTTCCTGACATCGTCGGCAGAATGATGGGCGAATCCATTCTTCTCAATCTCTGCTGCCCAGCTTGTTGCCAACGCACGATCTGGCGTCATGGCAAGCAGGGAAATGATTGATTTCATGTCCTCGAGCTCCTTGGCCAGTCGCCGTACGTGGGCGCGCAGCTGGGTTGTTGTCTTGCCGTCTTCTGCGACATCGTACACGCACGTGAGGTTCTTTGACTGGCAGGTGTTGCATTTTGGTCGGACACCATCACACTGAAAGAAAAAGAAAGACCTGTTAGCTGGCCCGCGAGCACGTCAATTGGATGGGCAATTTGGTACCGACCTTTGACTTTCGCTTCCTGCAGCTCTCGCATGCTATCGAGGTGATTTTACCACGGGGAGTCCGCAGTGCATATGTACCGGCAATGGGCGAATGGTGCTGGCCTCGAGCGTTTGCCAGGGCGCCCCCAAGGCCTTGCTTGGGTGCCAGCGGGGCTTTGTGGTTCGCAGCGGCGGACGCTGCCGGTGGACGAATCACAAGATTGGTCTGTTGGCTGTTGTCGAGATGGAGTGGAACTTGGCCTTCGTCCCATTCAGACGAGTCCTGGCTAATGAGCTGTTAGCAAATTCACGGTCCTCGAGCAAAAAGTGGTGACGTTAGATGCCTCTGTGCTCCTCTGGTGGGCGAGCGCATTCCGTCTGCGCCTGCGCCTGCTGTCGGCTAGGTTTGCGTTGATATGCGCACTATCGATGGTGCGTTGGACCCCGCGCACACGCTGCCCAGGTCTCGTCTCCCGAAACGAATGCCGATGAAAATCCCGAGACAAGTGGGCATGGACGTGTCATGGTCACGGCGCAGCCAGCAGACAGGTCTATCAAATTACCTTTGCGGTAATTGTAAGCCTTTGAATGGTGTGATTTTTTCTCTCCGTCTCAGTGAGCAGCCAGTTGCCGAGGACAAGCAGACGACACGAGGATGTAAGATGGTGCCGCCGATCCTTGCCGAAACCAAAGAGGATGATCGTTGGAACAGAGCTTCTCGATTTTCATGTATCCCTTGGCATGTCCGGATCGTGACGGGACGTCGGAGCAGTCTGCTCCGCACTGGTAGACGATGGAGTTTTGGATCCTGAGTCGGGTCTGAAGACGATTGTGCTGGCGACAATGGCGACCCACGAGGTGGAGAGCGAGAGAGGGTCGTGGTTGCCAAACCAGACCGGAGCAGAGACCAAGGAGCTGCACCGTGCCTGCCGCGTACGTACGTATGTATGTTCGTATACACACACACACACACACACACATACACACGCATACTCGCACCGATAGATGTGTGCCAACATACACATACCCATCCATACACGCACACACACACATATACCTCGGCCGAGGGAGGGGGAGAGGGGGGTCCTCCGGGACCATGGTGGACAAGAAAGACTGATGATGTGTGCACTCACATTTGGATTCCCGCTGGCTGTGCAACAGCGTCCGAGGCACGGCGCATCAAGCGTGGGTTGGAGGCTGTTTGGGGAAGACCTTGGAGGGCGTCTGGCAGACTGCCGCTGCCATACCAGTAATTTATTCCTGTGCAGCATGTCAGCGGAAGAGCTTCAGTGGCTGCTGGCGGGCTGCAGAGACGCAGGCTGGCTGGCTGAGAGCCGACGTACCCGAAGAAGATGTCGAGGGTTGTGCAGGCATGAATGCGAGCATGTCTCGGTGCTGCGGCTTGAACAGAAGGAGCTATGTCGGAGTTGGGGTGGTGGTAGGCTGGCTGGTTGGTGGACAAGAAGGATTTGCCAGTAGGGACTTCATGTGCAGTGCAGAGAAAGATGGGTCATGCACTTTGGGCATTAACTCTGTATATCTTGCGCTGGGGCGCTGGGCCTGAGGTTCATTAGTGGCCGGCAAACTCCTATGCGGAACTGCTGACAGACAAGCACGCAGAGCTGGAACGAAGTTTCAAAAAAAGGCGTCGCCCACCTAAACACCAGCCTGCGGATGCAGCTCGACCTAGCCGTCTAGCGCACCACACACACCCTACCACCGTGGGGAAAATCGGGTTAGCCGGCTGCGCTCTGCGACTAGGCTAGAACCGCCGCTCCTAAACAGATACTGCCACAAGCTTGCGAAGCGAACGCGAATGCCTTGCGACATCATGGCCCATGGGCCCCCCTTGGAACCGCTTCTGATGGCGTTGGATTTGCCATGTGTGCGCGGCTGGTCCGCGACTCGCCATGTGCATCATCAAGCCCATTGACTTGAGAATGGGCCGGACCCTTTTTTCCTTCTCACACTCTCTCCTCTCGTTCCCCTACCCCTACCCCCCTCCTTCGCTATACTGATAGATACATCCAGATATACTTACATAGGTAGGTAGGCACGACTAGATCACGCCTTTGCAGCCCAGCCCGTCGATCGTCGCCTTGCCTTGACATTGGCGCAGTGACGTGCGGTAGATCATCTGAATGCGTCTTTTTTCCCAGCATATCCGAGGCCGCAACCAGACTATACACTCTCGTATCTGTATATGTACTTAGGTACATATGTGTGCCTGTCTTTGGACACGGTGTGCTCAATGGCACCTTGACGAGATTTTGTTTTTCCTCGTCTCTTCGTCCTATTTGGACTTGGCCCGACGGCACCCAGCGCTACCACTACCTTGATTTGATGGGTGCCAGAAGACTGTAATCTGCAATCGGCCCGATAGCTCACAGAAGTTGTTGGCTGCGCCGCCTCGTTGAAGCGCGTTCCCAGGATGTGGCCTAGGAGGGGTGCGGTATGCTCTGGGAGGACCAAGGCTGCAGTAGTGCATGACGTATATTTTGAGTTTGTCGAGGGTGAATTGGCGACAGGCCATGGCTACGCTCGGGTGGCATAGGAAGCAGACGGGCGTTGCACAGGCATGGCAGGCCAAAGCCTTCTGCTTCGACGGCGAGGTACCTACTAGCTGGATGGGTGCAGGAACATGGTCTCCCGCCCGTGCATTAGGCCATGGAGCGCCACCACGGAGCGACACCATGGGCATAGCCATGGGCATGACGCTGCCCCCAGAAGCCGGATGAAGCGCCTTGGTAGCTTGGCTAGAGATTGGGTAAAAAACCTCCGCGCACCTCCCTTGGCGTCCTGGGCCTTGATGACGACGTGCCCGTTGGCGCCAGGAGTCAAGAAAAACGTTATGTCCGCCAAGGCTGGGCTGCCAACTACTCCGTACTGCTTCGGTGAATTACAGCATGCTTGCCGTCTGCCTCGACGACGACACGCACATGCGGAGAGCTGTCGCCGTCGCCCTTGTGTCTGCTGAGGCCCATGGAGCAGCGTGCCTCGACGTTGACGACGCACGCTTAGCCTAACAAGGCATGTGAACCCCTAGAAGAGAGTGAATGCATTGCTTGCTATTGGCTGCCGATACATGGCGCACATAGGAGAGAGTGCTAGGTGTAGATGGGTGCCAGTCGTCGACGACAGAGCATCCCTTAGGCACATGGCTCTAGCCACGTCTGATGGCCTTCCCGCCCTTAGACGTGAACCCAAGCCTGAGTCCCCGATCATTTGACCGCCCGTGCGCATGCGCCGACGAGCAGCGTCGGGGAACAAGCATGCACGCGGCGGAACTCCTTCTGCTCTGTCTACTTACTCACCAGGTGTCGAGTAGCAATTATCCCCATCCATCCATATCCACCCCCCGCCAAACACAAACTCAAGCTTCCCCCCCCACAGTCTATCCTTGACCAAGCATCACGCAGACGACATGTCTCGGCGTACCGGAGTATGGCCCGGTTGGCCTGCGCAGATGCTCGGGCAGACTGCATTGTCCAAACCACCAAGGCGCTGGGGGCCCGCGCCGTCCCCCACACGCCACCACTCCAATTCAGTCGGCCACTGCACGAATTGGAGCTCCTCGTATACCACCTACCTCATTGTCTATACATATCCGCATGCCGCCAATAACCCTCATCGCCCGTGATGCTTCTAGCTTGGCCTCAACTTGGACCTTGTCCGCTCGTGTTCCCCTTTGCCTGCAGCCACTGGGAGAAGGTCGTACCCTTCTCTCCCTCTTTCCTTCTCCTGCCCAGGAATTGCAGCCCAGCCAAACAGAGGCAGAGACAATGCTGTGCCACCATCTAGGTATGTAGTTAATTTCCATGCATCAGCCCGCCTAGATTCGCCCTCCCGCTCTGATCTGCAGCCCAGCCTCTCCTGCATTGCTCCCTCGCTCCCAAACTCCCCTGCTCCCTAACTCCCTCGCTCCCCAACTCCCCTGACCGTGACACGCGCAGTACACCTCACTATACAGAATGTCATGTCATCTATCCAGTCTATAGAACACACTTGAACACTACTATGCATGCACAACAAGGACTCTGTGCCAGCTAAGAAGTGACTTGGCATGGCATCGTGAACCAGACGATCAGCACACTTAAGCCAAGCCCAGCAACATGAAATCGTGTCGCATCGTGTGGCCGTCTTTGGCCGGTCAATGACGTACACCACAACGGGCTCACGACCTCCAAAACCTAGTCCTTTTGACATGGCAGATAGATCGAGGTCGAGACCGCACGCCATCTCGCTCATCTTGCAGACCTTGCCGGCTAGCCACCGCAACCCGACAGTTCGGCACGTGGTCTACCAGGGTCTCCATCGCCTTCTGCCGTTTCCTCCACCACGACTCAGTGCCTCACAGCCCACGGGTCTCAGCTCCGCCCATCATCAATTGGCCGGCTCGGACATGCCGCCTTTAGCGTCAGGGTCACGTCAAAAACTAAATACGTAGCGAGCATCTTCTCTACCGATAATTTTCGGCCATCACAGCCTCACCACCCACGACAAGCATTCCAGAAGAAGCGTGGCTGCACGTCTTGTGCATAGGTATTTCACATGTGTACTTACTATGTATGTGCTACATGGGACTTGCCATCGGATTTTCCCACCGCCATCCGCCTAGCGCCTCCTGACCCCTTCGCCGCACAAACTACCCACACACACCACGGCAATGCCTTTCTTCTAGTGCGCTTCGCTATGCAAACTTGCCAATGGTCGCTCAAGAACCACGAGTTTTACTTGCTTCTGTGACATCCTGGCACTTCGCATCAAACAAAGGGCTACTGCAATAGCATGCATTGTACCTCTTACTGTTCGCTGCTTTATTGGCTCTCTGCGGGCTCCATTATCTAAGGTTTTGATACAGCCATGTATCAATCTGCGCGCCAGAACACAATGCTTCGGCATAGCTTATTTCTGCCAATGCACCGAGCATCGACATTTAGTGTGCATCATTGGAATCCGCTTTCCCCGGATGCCCGGTAAAAGTCCTTCATATAGTCTTACAAACTATCAAAAAAAACGCCTCTCGGACGACTTCCCTCCGTGCGGGGGAGCGCTGTCACAGTCGTTTATTGCGCGCTGTTCGGGTTCGGTTTGGCCCAACGTCGCTGGTCATGAGTGCGTACTTGTAGCATGGATTGGCTCGCGAATCTCAATTGCGGATGATCGCCGGGATACGGGGGGAGGCGCCCGCTATCCAGTTTTGGCAACATCGGGTACGGGGCCGCGGAGGCGTCCTTTTCTGCTAGGGGGACAAAGACTACTATAAGACGCGGGTTTTGAGCCGGGTTTTGACAACACTACTATGTAGCATCTTCACCGGACCGGTGTCTGTATCCTTAACTTCCATTACTCCGGCCTGTCTCCCAGATAATGACTTTTTTTTGGGGGGGAGGGAGGGGGGCCGTCCGATGGAGAGTATATTTAGTGGGAACATCCAGCTACTGTCGGTCATATCCTTCCATGGCATGTTACACTCCGGTTTCTTCGCGACCCAGCTGTCTGGTGGCGATGGCTCCATTGAGATCTCCACATAAATCTTCAATTAGCCTCGCAATCATGTCACCGACGTCGCAGTCTCAAATTTAGCATACGCACACGTTTTATGAGTTGGGTCCATTGGTTCATTCACGGACCGCATCCGCGGGGCATCTCTGACCGACAGACAACTAGTAGTCGACAAAGAATTAGGGGGTTCTTCACAGATGTACTAATACTAGACTATGTTCTGGATTCATGAAGGTGTCTATACGTTTAGATACAAGTACTACCCAGCTAACCCATCTCAATTCTCCAAGCATCTCCGTCCACCTCGGCAACCAAGAGTCACGTGCACGTGCACGCACCATCACATCTCGACACCTTGTAGCTCCCCAAGCAGTGCACATGGATTGTACTCGATACAACTTCACCGCCTACTGTGTATCGCTAAACTAACACTATTGATAAGTATTCCTAAGAGATTTGTAAGGGCGGGCTAACGGCAAGTGGACTGACTATCGCCTCTACAACTATGCACTACGTTACAACTAATACCGCAATGATCCTTCTTTCCAGACCCTGTCTTGATCTTTTTTTCCATTCATTCGTTTTTCCCATCGAGATGGTCATGAAACCGCTCGTTGCGCGCCTTATCCGCTATCTCCCCCTTGGCGCCCTATCTTACCCGCTTCCCCCGACGATCCCCTACAATAGACTCCCGCTGCACACTTACTGCTGATCGCCAGTCGCTATCCTAGTTGTATGGACCAAGGTGGCTGTGCAAACCGACTAACAAGCTGTAGCCGGAAATTATCAACCAGGTACGTCACCCCTGCTACTAAAATATTTCCGGCGTTTGCCCTCTTCGAGGGGTTGCTTGGCTACAAGCAGTGGGACAGGGTAGGGTACACGAGTGCTGCGCCTCACTGCGACATGGAGATCTTGAACGTGAAACACATGGGTAGACGATGAGGTGCTGATCTGCTGCGGAGAAACGTAGTAATCATCGCGGTTACTGATTCATGGGTTGACACGTTGACACCCTTATGATGATTTCTTACTCGCGATGTTGTGATCGCGTGCAGTAGCATTCCCCGTTGTCATCGTCTGCACATTCAAGTGGCAAACTCTAAATAATGTGTTTAATTACTCCATTTATCTCCATCACTGCTTCCGCATAGATCGAGATCAGCTCTCCCATGCGTAAAGCGATTGGTGGCAGCGTATACCGATGCCACATCAATCATGTTCGCCAAGAAAGCAGCAACAATTGTTGTTCCGGCATGTCAGATTGATAAACCAACTGCAACAACATCACATTATGTACTTACTTTGGAGTTTTGATCGTAAACCGTATAAACCAGTAGACTGATGCCTCAACAAGAATTCCAATCTATCTGTCACTAAGACTCTATCATATCAACTCAGCATCGACTTTCCCTTTTTGACATGCATTTTGCGCTGACAGCAGAGTCCCACAACTAGCATCACGGATCAATCACTTCGCTCCAGCAGACATCTCCACATCAAACCAGGAAAATCCCTGGCTCCCGCCATTTCTCCCACCAATCCCAAAGAAACACGGAAACACTCTCTCCTGATTGCCCCGCCACATAAGATAAACAGTGTCATGTGTCCTTCACCAGAACAAGGCTCCCCCATGAACCCGTGGATCCCTCACCCTCAACTGTAAGGTTTCCTATGAACCCCGCATACAATACACAAAGGGAAATAAGCACATGGGACTCATTAGCTCTGGAGACTTAATACAATCTGTTCAAGAGTTTCAGGGCTCCATGTTCGACATATTCTATCTATTCAAGGGCCCATTCGGCTTTTTCCCAGTTCCGAATTCCATTCGGATCCCGAAGTTTTCCAGCAACAGTCTCGATCATCCGATTGATTAGATGTTCCAAGTAACTTAAATTTTGAAAGTCAGGATCATCTGCTCATTCGGATTTGCCATAGGTAGAAGTTTGCGAGTACGTATGCTCTGAATCCTTCGTGACTCACGGATCCTGAATGACGCTTTTCAAAGTCGAAATTGACAGGGAAAATGAACCAATGGTGGCAAGAATCTTTGACAGGATAAACCACTTAGACTTGAACCTTATAGTTCCTGCGTGGTATATTTAGAACGTGTGGATATTGGTGTTGCTGGAAATGGTGTGTTATCGCTGACATCTCACCTCTTGAAACACGGCAGCTTATTTACAGTCCTGCAAATTAATTCGTATTCTTTCAAAATTGAACCGAGACTGAGAACAAATGTCATTATCTCCCCAGCAAGTATCCTTGATTTGTCTTGAGACGCAATATCCAGGATGAATGGGGTACCCGATCAAAGTAGCACAGCCCGGGTCATGTGACCATCGCCTTCCGATTGGTCGAAAATCCGGCTCACCACCGGCTTACAGCTCATCAGCCGTTAGTTTCACGTGGTTTGCTTAGGTAATGTCTCACGCTTCAACTTGAAGGGCACTTTCCCCGCTGATCGCGCATCCAGTCGCGACAAGACCCTAACGAGTTCCTTGTTCACCAGCGCGTCTGTCCTCGCTTTTCTGGCGCAATCGCACCTGTCTCTACTTCTCTGCTACACAGTCAGTGATAGAGACACTCAGTCCTCTCGTCAACAAGAATCCAGCTGACGCCCAGAATCTCCATTCTGAAGCCATCATAGCAGCGCGAAAATCTTCAGAATGTCTCACTCGAGTTGCGCTTCAGAGGGCGAGCTCCCCGATACTCGGCACAAGGCAAACAAAGTCAACTCGCGCAACGAATCTGCGATTAACGGCTCAAACAGGTCCTTTGGACTAGATGGTGCCTATGAGAAATACCGCGCCCTGAGTCGTTCTCCTTCGCCATATCGCCGCAAGCGAACCCCGTCACGATCGCCTTCGCCATTTCGGAAGAACCGTGCAGCCGACCGCTCGCCATCGCCATACCGACGAAGCCGAGCCGAACAGAGTGGCAGTGATACCCGGGGCTACAAGCGCAAGGCTTCTCCGCCACGCGGTCGTCCCGACAAGCGTTACCATGCTGATCGTAGCAGACACGGTGAGCCTCGACGAGCTACAGGCCAGCCTCCAGTAGCGTTTGCAAGAGAACGCAAAGACGTCATAGATAGATCGCATGCGAAGCCAATCTCATATGCTGAGGTTGAGAACCCTAACCCAGTCCCCAACTTCCGCGAAGCACTCCCCGTAGAGACCAATCGTCAACAGCCACGAGACAAAGATCAGGAGCAAACCAAGACTCGCGAGTCAAATGAACAGGAGCAACAGACATCGTCTGAGAACGCGAAGACCTCAGTTGCACGGGCTAGCGTATCCGAAGATGTTGAAATGTAAGGGCATTCTTTATTGAATCGACGTTTCAATGAATACTGACAGTTGCTAATAGGAAAATGGATGATGATACCACTGATTTCACCCCAGCGCCTGTCGAAGACAAAGTGCCTACTCAGGAATCACGCGAGGAAAAGCGCCGTCGTTGGGCTGCCATACGTGCTGCTACTGAGCAACAAAAGAGCAAAGAGAACCTCTTGCAACAAGCCATTCTCACTAATGCGTCAGAAGCGAACACCCCTAACAACGCTTCGCCAGCAGCATTTGCAGATAGCCCCATATCTCCTTTTGCATCACCCCGCAATGGCGACTTTGAATCTGCACCAGCATCACCTGACGTTATGGTGATTGACAAGCAGGGAGAATTCAGCGAGGGAAACAGCCCGGCGGCGGCGGCAAGCCCATCGGCAGCAGATTACGACCCTATGCAGGATATGTTGGACGACCGGAATCGAGCAGCACAGAAGAACCAAAATGCCGAAGTGTCTTCGGATGCGTATCGTGAGACTGACCCGAAGAATCTTTCTACTTTGCCTGCCGAGAAGGTGGCACCCGTCAAGAAACAAAAGAAGGAATTCGACATGTTTGCGTCTGACGATGATGAGGACGAAGATGAAGATGTGGAACCCGAGGCAAATGTCGCTGCAAAAGGAACTGTTCTTGATGAAAAGCTACTGGATAACTGGGATGATCCTGAAGGATATTACAAGCTGATCAGTAATGAGCTGGTAGATGGCGGGCGTTATCGAGTGATCAAGGGCCTTGGTCGTGGCGTGTTTGCCAATGTCGCACAAGCAGAAGAGGTGGGGACAGATGACGGAGATGCCAGTCCAAGGATCGTGGCCATCAAGATGATTCGACGCAACGATCTGATGAGGAGAGCCAGTCAAAAGGAAATGGACTTTTTGCGCAAAGTCAACGAAGCAGATCCTCAGGATAAGCGCCATATAATTCGTCTGTTGGGCTCGTTTGATCACAAGGGTCATCTGTGCATAGTCTTCGAACACATGTCGAAGAACTTGCGAGATCTGCTGAAAGAGGAGACCAATGGTCACGGTCTTACACTCCCCGCTGTACGGATATATGCACGTCAGATGTTCCTTGGTCTTCAGCACCTACAGAACTGTCAAGTCATTCACCTTGACTTGAAACCTGATAACGTCCTAGTCTCTGCTGACAAAAAGACCATCAAGCTTGCCGATTTCGGTACCGCTGTGGACAAGCGAGATGTCATTGAACGCACCGAGTATCTTGTCAGTCGATTCTACCGTGCACCCGAGATTATACTTGGCATGGATGTAGGATATCCCGTCGATATGTGGGCTGTAGGCTGCACAGTGTACGAACTCTGGACAGGCAAGATTCTCTTCACCGGGCGATCCAACAACCAAATGATCAAGTCATTCATGGATTGTTTGGGATGGCCAAGCGAGAAGCTACTCAAGAAAGGTCTTGTCAACAATGTCCTTGACAATTTTGAACTTGGACCCCCCTTGAAATTCATCAGCCGCGAAGTCGACCAATTCAACAAGGTAAGAAGTCTACATTCCAGCCCCCGGAAAAAAAAAGCCAATAACTAACCCACCACGCACAGTTCTCTATCCGCAAAATCGAACAGCAAAAGAAGATTCCCCGCGACATGAAAACGCGCGTCCACGACGCCGCCCGCAACATCTCAAACGGCGGGCCCACAGCCGCAGAGCTGAACGACCTAGCGGACCTGCTAAGCGCAACCTTGCACATGAACGTGGAAAAGCGTCTCACGCCCAAGGAAGCACTGGCGCACAAGTTCTTCGCCAGTAAGACGTCTGCCCCGCCCAAACCTCCTGTCCCTGGCAAATCTGCAGTCGTTAAGCCGCCTATAATGAAGCGTGGTACGCCAGTCAACTCGCCGGGCATGCGGAGGTGAGTGTGTGTGTGTGTGTGTGTGTGTGTGTGTGTGTGTGTGAAGAAATTGGGGGCTATCTTATTCCACAGAAGAGTGAATACGCAGCGTATATGGAACCTTTTGCTCTTTCTTGCATGCTTGTTTTGGGATTGGACAATGGAGTGGGGGGAAGGATGTGAATTGCTTTTTTAAACTTCTTCTTTTCTTCTTTTAGGCGTGCATTGCCTTGCTTTGGCGTTGGAAGCCAGCGGGGATCTGGCATCAAAGGGACAAGGGGGGGGTGGGGGGGAAGAGAGATTTGATCGATCTCGTTCTTGGCGGATAGTGATGGGGGGTGGGTGGGGTTACGATGCATGGTATCGAGGGAACTTGGTACGTTATTTTGGAGAAAAGGAAATGGATTGAGGGAGTCAGGGGTGGTGGGCCTGGGATGAATTTTAGATGCAGGAATGAAGCAAGCAAGCGGCGTGTTTTTTTTTTTCATGGTACGCTGGGATGGGTCGGTTTTTTGTGTCTGGGTACGGCACGACTTTTGTATCAAGGCTACACGTGTGCAGAGGTTGTTTTTTATTGTGTTTGTCAACCTTTGCATGGACATAATACATCAAAGTCAGGGGAATGAGGATATCTCGGTTGGTCCGGTATATATGTATATACACAAACAGGCAGTGTATTCAAGCGTCGACTTGTCCCCTCAGGAACGCCTTCACCTTTTCGCCCCAAACGACTTGTCGCTTGTACACTGTGATTTTGGGTACAGTGCCGCGACCTAGGCCATCGATAGCCTCGGCGAGTACGTGTCCGTTTCCCTCGTCTCTGATTTGTTGGATGGGATAAGTGTACGTCTATGATACACACAGTCATTAGCGGCTCTTCTCCACATGTCGATTATGAGGATAGCGCAAGTCATACCTTGAATGCAAACACCAACGCCCCCGTCCGAGGCAACCGATGCAACGTCTGCCTCTCACACCTCACAACCGTCTTGTCAAGGTCCACATTGTCCTCCTGCCGCTCGCGCTCGTGCAGCGTCTCGAGCTCGCTCTCACTCATATGGGCGCCTGAGAGACAAAACAAGTCACCGGTAGTATTAATGCTCCAATTAACGCGCTTTACGATTTTGCCGACGGGAAGCGCGGAGAAATAGCGGTCCATGCTCTTTTCCAGCTTTTCGGCGTAGTGCGGGACGGGGGCATGGATGGCGGCAAGGGAGAGGCCAAGTTTGGAGAGGGTGGAGAAGCCGGCGGGGAAGCAGTTTATGAAGGCGGTTAGGCGGTATGGTTCTGTGGGTTGGGGGGTTGAAGCATCTTGTTTTTGGAGTAGGAGGAATTCGGTGTCAATGTTTTCGCCGAGGATTTGGAGGGCGAGGTCTGGGGAGGAGACTTGGAGGGGGATAAGGGTGTTTGTGGCGTGGTTTTTCAGGTATGTGGATGGTGTACCTTGACTGATGGTGACATGGACGATGCTGTAGATGGAAGGGAAGCGACGGGGTAGGTAGGTTCCTATGGCCCATGTGTATAATTCCATGACTGCGGGAACGGCTTGCGGTTTGCAGGCTATGACTTCTGGCCGCTGGTCCTGGATTAGTTGGCGGCGAATGTCGAGACGCTCCAGGTAGGTGTTGTCCATGGCGACGAGGTCGGAAAGTGTCGTGTTTTCGAGGGCTGGAGAAAACTGTGTCAGCCTGGCAAGCAAATAATGATATACCTGCTGTTCTATCGGGGTTCTAAGGAAATGGCATACCCATAGTCATATGATACTTTGGTTTGAATGGCCGCAGCTGGAGCGGTTCTGTCGTCTCGAGATCAAAGTCTGAGAGGGGCTCGATGGAGTAGTATGCCGCTTCCGAGTGCTCTTTCTCAAAGGGGTTCTTTTCCACAGAGGTAATTGACTGTGCATTCTGAGTGGACTTCAGCTATGTTGACGATGTATAGCGAGGGATACGAGCGATATACTTGTTTGCCTCTGATACTCTGGCCGGGCCGCTTCCTATTCCAGGCGTAGAGAACAATGCTGAGCACCAGTAGCAAGAACCATGGTAGCATTCCAACAAGATGATCAGCAGTTAGTTGATTCATCGCAATGTTTTGGTGTATTCCAAGATGTCCTCACACAATCATGTGGGGCTGAATGAGTTAATACTTCGTGTATCGCATGTCAAGTGCACAAGGCGTACAATTGACATGGCATCAACACGTCATTACGGATAAGGTATGATTTGAGAGAGCGAGAACCGGAAGAAGTCGGTACACGCGATAGACGCCATTGCCATGAGGCAAAGAGGGAAGAGGCGGGATGCGATTGCCTATCGGGGCGAACCCCGCATTGGGAACATTGGCACTAGAGAGTGGGCGATAGGCACCTGTTGGCATCTAGATAGCGGGTACAGCCTGGACTGTTGTGGAAATTAAGGATATCCAGGTCGGGATTTATGAATTCAGCATGTCTTTTGGCAACAGCAACTTTTTCTAAATGTATACTTTGTGTTTGATAGCAGTCTATGACTCGCTGTCTACACTCGGCTTGATTAGCCCGGGTCAGAACTGTCATGGCTTGAGGTTTTCTCGAAGCCCAGTAAATTGTCCTACTTGTTTTTTCCATCCATGGTAGCACGAAATGTCGCATCGCATTGGCAAGTGCCCAAGCCTAAGCCTTGGCCTCCTCAGCCTCCGGGTGGCCCACGGGTACTAGCTTGCCCACAACCAGATACTTTTCACTGAATCGCTCCTCCCAGCCTCGTAGTGCGTCCATCTGCTCATCATCCAAGCCCTCAAGCGTGTCGAGGGGGCCGTCCAGGTCCTTGGTTAGCATATCCTCGTCGAAGCTGCCGCAGGCCAGGCCTCTCGAGGCATCCCTGCCAGCAAAGTTTGCGTAGGGGCCACCAGGGCCGTAGAAGTTGCGACCAGGGGTGACGTCAAAGACACGTCCGCGGACAGCTAGATAGACTGGCATATTGTTGAGGCCATTATAGGGAAACAGCGAGGGTGGAGTAAAGGTACGGAAAACGGTTGGGGGCGGAGCGCGTGGAAGAGTCTGGGGAGTCGAGGGCTTGAGACGGAGATAGACCAGGGCACCGAAGAGCGAGAGGAGGACCAGGTTGATTGGAGTGAAGACCGAGGCGCTGCAACGAGGGGGTCAGTCGGGCGGGTGAGCGAGCGAGCAAGGAGAAGAAGAAATGTGTTGCTTACGCGTGGGTTGCCTCGGGCTGGGGAATGGGCGAGGGGAGTGCTGGCTGTGGTGTGAGTGTGCATGCAGATCAAGAGCAGCGGGGATGGATGGACATACCGTCTGCCATGTTTGGAAGCAGTGCAGTGGGAGCAAGTGGTGGACAAGGCGAGGGCTGGGTGGTATGGTGTAGGCGGTGGGCATGCTAGGCTAGCGGCAACGGGCGGGTAGGTGGGGAGTTTAGTGGTTGCGATGATGCAATGCCCGGCTAGCCACACTGTCTCCAACCCCGACAACTCACCACGACCATTCTTTGGCCGCGCAAAAGCAAGCAGCCCTGCCTGTCGCCCGCAATGCTGCATTTGGTTTTTGGCCCCTTTGCTCTCTCTTCAGACACACATCGGACGGCCAGCTGTCCGTGAAGGGGGGGTGAGGGGCTCTTGGATGCATCGTCGATGACATCTGAGCGTCCACATGCGACAGCAGAAGCTCTGGGGCGCATTCATAAGCCCTCTGCTGGCCCCCCAGCGGGTCAAGATCAGGATTCCTCTCGCTCTGTCCTGCCCTTGTCTCCGTCGTGCTGGCCGTTCCGCTCGTTGTGTAATATCTGCCTGTGCTATACATATCTACCTAGCTGCGCACGCGCGCCCTGGCCCCGTGCGCCTGAGGCTGAAACCGCCTGCACCGGCGCTGAAACGCGTGCTGTGGATTCGTTTGGCCTGCCTTGGCCTGCCCTGATTCGTCCCCGCCGCCTCACCCGCCTCGCCCGCCTAGCCCGCCTCTGGACTCTTGTCAGAGAGCGCATCGCTGCCATCGAACCATTCCATCTGTCGACGAGAGAGAGCATTGGGGCGCGTCTGTCGGCGCTTTCAAGACGAAGCTCCTCCTGCTGCTGTTGCCCTTGTCCTGCGCGCATTGAGTCGCTATTTTTACATTGCGGCACCGACCTGATCGCCCTCCTTCATTTACCAAGATTGCGCCGACGAAGAATAGTAGGCCACCGCCACCCACTTGAGCCTGCTCCTTTCCATTCATCCTGGATTCAATATCAACACGCTCAATCTTGCAGTCATCCAATCCGGACCTGCCACATCCTCAATTGGTATGTACTGCAATCTCTGCCCATACTCTTTCCTTTCTTCCCCCACCCCTCCCTCACCCACCAGCCGTGTGCCATCATGTCTACTTGTGCTCCTCATTCCGGAAGCACTACACTGCACTGCACTGCACTGCACTGCACCAGCCAGCCATCCAATTTGCCACTTCTGCGCCCTCGGCCACCTCTTCCAAGACGCGTCAACCCTGCAGGCTCCTTCGTCGTCATCCCATTCTCCCCATCTTTTGGTGATCGACAGGCCATACCGTTCGCCTATCTCCCGCACTCACTAGAACAACGCCCACCGGATCCAGCCCTGCCAAGACGTCCGCACCAGTCACTCTCATACATATTCCCACTTTGACTCGCTTGCCACAAAGTTTAAATATAACATTACACCATGTAAACCTATCATACTGCAACGGCACGCAAATGGCTGCCCTGTGTTCTGACGCGTACTCGGACTAGCGTTGCACAAGGCTAATAAATGTTTCATGCAGGCATCATCACAATGTGGAAACGATTACAGGGTCACGTCCGCGAGAAAGAAAAGCATGCGCAAATAGGCAACCCCGTACTGCTTGAAACCACTTATGACCAGGATCAACTCCACCGTAATCCAAATATCGCCGGTCTCCACAATCCCGAGCAACAAAACTATGTGCTCCCCCCGCTAGATTCACTGTACGTCCAGCTATCGCTTCGTCCTAATCCAGTGTTAATCAGCCTTGCCCTAGCTCCAAATTCTCACACAACCCTACCATCACTACAGCATCTGGAGCGCCAACCCTCCCTCCAGTCCAAAGACTGTCGGCAGTGCCGACGATTCCTTCGGTCTATTCGCGAGCCTCGATCGAAGACTACTATTACCGTAATCCTGCAGCCACATTACGGTCCAACTACGACGATCTATCCCCGCCAAGTTCACCAGAGTCCGAGAAGTTCCTCCCGTCTTTTGACCCGCCTCAGTCTATCCGTGACATATCCCTCCGCGACTTTTCCTCAATGGACGACAACCAACGCAAAGTGCAAGATGAGCCGCGCGATGTCAAGGCAATTCCCGTGTTGCGCAGAGCACCTTCCGTCATTCGGACTGGCGATGTGCAGTCTGGGCCCAAGCAAAAATTCTGGGAAGGCAAGCTTGCGCCAAACAGCAAAGTAAAATGGGACGAGTACTCGGGCGAGCCCAACAGTGCAGGAAAGGCCGCGTCAGTTGATCCTCACACCTATGCGGTAGGCGTGCCTTCTGCCAGTCTCAAGCCCATGGGCTATCAAGTTTCGGTGTCCGCGGCTGGCCCTGAGAAGAAGAGCCTTAGTTTTGGAGAGCGTCTTAGCCGTTTCGGCTCGAAGCGTTCGCCACCAGCAGTCAAAAACCAACCTGGAGAGAAGTCATTGCAAATACCACAAGCGACTACATCGCCAAGCTCGGACCAAGTCAGATCAAACACGCTTACTGTTGCCGTCGATTCAGCACCCACGCTTGCTGATACTCGACCCGTCACAGCCGAAACCGCCAACTACGAGGTGCATGAAGAAATCATTAAACCCGTCGTGCCCCTAAAAGTAGGAAAGAAGTCGCCCGCAGGAAGCAGTCTCACTTCTCCAACATCTCCCACAACCCACGGCCTTGGTATTAGTGCATTTGCTTATCCAAGCCCTGTCACGCCCAAAAGCCGCGACGGTCAGAAACAGTCCCCGGCCATTGTAATCGAGACCGAACTACCTATCCACCCCGCGTACCGAACAGCAACCCCACCAGAGACCGACAAGCAACCCATTGCCAGCCAATTCTCCTGGACCACATACAGCCAGTCTATAACGTCCGACCAACACTCACCGCCACCCTCACCCCCACTCTCGGCCTCATCCTCAGTGCTTCTGCGCCGCCGGCCCGTGCCCCACTCCGACCGCATCCCAGACTCGCGCCCCAACGCCTCAAGAATGCTGTCCCCCTCCAACGTCTCCACCTTCTCTAGCGCAAGCGGCATGTCCAACACATCTAAAGCGCTACCGCATCCACCTACTGCCCTATGCGCCCTCGACCACATTGCACTTCTAGAATCCCAACAAGAAGACCTTCGCATCCGCCGCAACAACGTCTACCGCCTTCTCACTGACCTCAACAATGCCGCGCCTCCGAACCCACTCTTGACAGATTTCAAGAAGGCGAAGGCAGTGGAGCACAAGAAGAAGGCGTTTGAGGTCGAACTTGATGATATTAGGCGCGAGGAACATGATGTCGGACTCAAGTTGCATCGCGCGTGGAAGAAGAGAGAGCAGGATGATCCAAATGCCGCAGGGAGTGCACTTTGGGTAAGGAGAGTGACGAGCTAAGGATTTTCTTTCATATGTTTTATGGTACAACATGGACATGGATATGTCTGTTTCGCCTCTTTCTCTTACTCGTCATGTTGCCCATTCTCTTTTCTGTAGGACTTCAACTGCTCAAGTGCAGTCTGTTTTTTACCCTTTTTTCCCCAACTCCATGGGCGTTTCCCACTTGGCACACTGGCATTTGCGTGGGGGGATGTAAGGGGCGTATATCTTGTGAAGTATGGGCTTCACTTCTTTCATATCATGTGATTCATCTTTTTTTTTTTGAATACACCTTGTACCCCGTTTAACTAAATGACGTTTCTGGTGTTCTTTTCTTCTGACGCTCAGTGTTGAAGTTGGGACCACGCTCCATGAAAATAAGAAGGGTATACCCCAGTCATAGAAGTGGTGCCTACTCCACAAAGACGCATTGGCGCCCCACGTCAGCTTGTCTCCGACCTTCTCTGCCGACTGAGAGCTTACAAGTAAGCTGTTGGTAAGCCAGCGCTACCAGTGCCCCGCATCCAGGTACCGAGAGCCCAGCCCCTCCAACATCGTCATCCCTACCTCGTGAATGTTTTCCCGGCGACCGCCTGGACCCTATTCATTCGTGGCCATTGAGCCTATGAGCTCTCTTACCATTACTAACGGAGCACAAACAAAACGGAACTGGCATGCATTCCCCTACCTTTTAGCCGAGGTCGGATGAGGTCAGATGCTACTGTCCCATGTCGTGGCTAACACTTCACCGGATTTGCTCAAATATCCTCATGTCAATCGGGCCATAATTTCTTATGGTTTACTTTAGCCTGCCCAACCCGTTTCTGTGACTTGTTCTTTTCTTTTTAAATCCATAACCGCCCTCGTTACGCAAACCTAGCAGCCCACGCGCGAAACACCACCAGCCCACCTCACACATTCATCTTTCCCAGCGTCCAACAATGTCGTATTCCAAGAGCGCAGATGAATCGACGGTACCCGTCCTCAAGAACCTCACGATAGAAAACATCACAGAAAACGTGCAGCGCATAAACTCGCAATGCAGCGACCCACGGCTCAAATACGTCATGGAGCGTCTCGTAACGCATCTGCACGACTTTGCACGCGAGACACGCCTCAGTTTCGACGAATGGATGGCAGGAATCCAATTTCTGACACAAGTAGGCCAGATATGTAGTGACGTGCGACAAGTACGAATTCCCCTTTTATTGTCTCTACCAAAACCTCCCCAAAGCTAACCACAAAAACTAACAACAGGAATTCATCCTCCTCTCCGACATTGTCGGTCTCTCCCTCCTCGTCGACTCAATTGACCACCCCAAACCCCCTGCCTCAACCGAAGGCACGGTCCTTGGTCCCTTCCACACGCACGACGCCCCTGTCTCCGCACCAGGCTCCAAAATCTCGGCCGACCCCTCCGGCACACCTCTGCTTGTCCTCTGCACCGTGAAGACTACATCGGGGGCCCCAATCTCCGGCGTCAAGATCGATGTCTGGGAAACAGATTCCAACGGCAAGTACGATGTGCAGTATGAGGACCGCGGCGAAAAGGCCGATGGCCGCGCAATCGTGATAAGCGATGATCAGGGTGTATTTTGGTTCAAAGGAATTGTACCCGTGCCATATCCTATTCCGAGCGATGGGCCTGTAGGCAAGTTGCTGGAAAAGCTGGGCAGGCATTGCTGGAGACCGAGTCATATGCATTTTCTGTTTGAGAAGGAGGGATTTGACAATCTGGTTACGTACGTTTTCGTCCCTTACCAACACCTTGTTGAATGCCTTGCAGCAGGGCGGAAGACATGTGTAACTGACGACAATTTTTTTTAGTGCCTTGTATCTCCGCGGTTCCCCCTACGAAACCTCCGACGCCGTCTTTGGTGTCAAGGACTCACTCATTGTCCCCTTGGACACGGTGACGCCCGAGCAGGCGAAGCAGTATGGTGTAGCCGAGGGAACCAAATTGCTTACGTACGACTTTGTGCTTGTGACGGATGACGAGACGAAGCAGCTGAGGCATGATGAGGCGGTTAAGGCGATGAAGTCGCTGGGGCGGGAGGGCATGATGATTGTGAATGGGCTGCCTGTTCCTGAGGTTGACTAGGTGTATTCTGCAACTTCTTGAAGAGTAGATGGAATCTTTTTGAGGATATAGATAGCTATCACTCAACAATAGAAATACTTGGTAGTTAGCAAAGAAACTGGAAATAGCCTTCTAATTCCGCTTCAAGCCTCTCTAGTATTACTTTCTGGTTGCAAGAGTAGACTTGTTTAGCATGTGGGCAACCCTTATATTCACCAAAAGTATTATTTAGCAAATCCCCGCCGGCCAGCCTCAGGTTGCTATCTCACACATACACACACACTCTCTCTCTTCCCAAAATCCAAACACCAAAATCCTTTTTTTTTGGCATAAACTTACAACAAATCTCCAAGTTCCCCTAGTACCACAATCTCTCTCTTCACTGCACGTCTTCCAAAATTCCGTTATAAAAAAAAAATCTCCAAACTAAGACCCGCATCTTACCAAATTTTTTTTTTAAAAAAAAAATAAGATGCAGCTCTGTAATCTAGAATCAAAGCACCCACGTCTACTCCTCTTCATTTTTCCCCCCGTCCCCCTTTCTTATTTCTGTGTGCAAAGAATATATGTAGTAAGCGAAATAAAGGGGGGTAAGAAGTCAGGGGGATGTGAATTCTTCAATAGGCATGAAAGTACAATGTTAGATTTTCTAAAAGAAACCTTTGTGTAGCAGAGATGATGGGAATGATAATAAAAAAAAGAGGCAGTTATGCCAAGGCGTTGTGAACAAGCTCCCTCGGCTGTGCAACCGGAGCCCCCCCCCCCCCCCCTACAGCCTGCGTATGACCGGCCTCTCGCGTCGGCATAGACAAATTTGTATACCTAGTTCAAGTGCTTAGCTGTAAATAGTTAGTCTTCATATCTACGATTTGGTGTAAGCATCTGACTGCGCGACTAGTCAGTAATTTGCATTTACATGCACCTCAATGAGCCTAGCAACAAACTTTCATAGAGTAGCAATCAGTTTGAATAAATTACTCCATATTACTGTTGAAGCAGATATAGCTACCATAGTCCCAGGCGCAGATTTTCTAGCTACATTTTAGCAGCCTGGAGTTTGACTTTGATCGGCAAATTTGCAATAACACACTGTCGAAACATGACCCGAATAAAAGAAAGCAGACGGAAAAAAAAAGAAAAAGAAAACCACCCCTTCATTTCAAAGAAAGCAATTCGCTGTCCGTTCAAGCGCTGTTCTTGGGGTTTTCAGGAGAAGCTTTCCACTGCCACATTGTCAGCAAGGGTTACACGACGTCATGGCGCAATATATGTCGCAGCGGGGAATCGCCTGGAATGGATAGAATAAAACGTACCTTCTTGCCGAGCTCTTGCTGCTGCTCCTTGAAAGACAAGTCCTTGTACTCGTCGCGGTGAGCCTTGACTGGTGTTGTCGGTCAGCAAACCTTAACCCCTAACAAAGCCCGTCTTTGCGTGGCAACAACGCGACAGTCACGTCTGAATAACGTGACAAAGCGCGTCAAATGGTGAAATACTTACAGTATGCTTGCATCTTGGCCATGGCGTTTCTGGCGTTGTTCTTCTTTCCCGCGCGACCGCCCTTGGGAGCAGTCTTCTTGACGCCCGCGGCGCTTGCCGTCTTTGGTGTCGCCGTCTTGGTAGTGGTGGTGGTAGTAACAGCCATTGTGAGGTAGGTGATGCTAATTGAGATTTATGAAAGACGTAAGGTGTGTGTGTGTGTGTGGAGTTGATGAGATCTGAAGAATTGAAAGAAGCTGCAAGTGACAATTGCTGTTGTTGTTGTGACAGTGAAGAGGTGGGAAGGTGAAGGTTCATTGAGAGCAGGCACGGCCCCAGAACACGCTAAACCAGGCTTAGCTCATCACATACCTACTCTATGATCTCCATAGCCTGTTCTGATACATGCGCCGGCCCTCGTGAATGGCCAGACGTGATTGGTGCATATTGTTATCTGAAACTCTTGGTAATATATGCCCCAGACACTTTGGGCACAAGCGAGACACAACGGCACAAGAGCGCATGATTATGCTCGAAGACACGAGTCCCATTCCATATGGCGCTTGTCGATAGTTGATCTCCAACGATATGGACGGCGTCTTGACCTCAAGTGGCCCATCCCCGCTGTCATCTCGAGCGATTCAGGTTTGACGTGGTACAACTGCTTGAATCGGTCTTTTGCCGGATCCGCAAATCCATCGGTCGCTCTCTATATATATGCAAGGCCTCATTTTTGGGGTTTCCAGATACGAGGAATGCCATGCGCTGATTTCCATCTCACAACATAGTTTCAGTATGCGGGATTTTTGTCCACGTTTTCCTTGAGAATTAGTGAATGCCTTGAGACAGCGTCAAGGCACTTGTACAGCACATGTCCTCTCAAGTCCAACTCTTACACACAGTCTTGCGAACGTAGCTTAAGTTACAAATGCTCCATTGTAGGCCTGTCTCCAAGCAAACTATGACGACGAATCCTCTGTTGTCTCCTCTGTTATGCGACGGGATCGAGCGTCGTGCGAGTCGGTATTTGTACCCCCTGTATTCAGCACCGGTTTCTCGAAGCCACGGAAACTAAACTTGCGACGGCGACCGCTTGGCCGTTCTGTAAGACTGGGAGCACGGGGCCTAGACTTTCCCCGGGCGCGTCCGCCCACGACGGGTATCTCGTGCGCACCGGCGCGGAAGACGTATAAGAGTATGTCGTAGACGAGCAGCACGGCCCACGGGGCAATGGCTATAAGGCCGAGGAAAAGCTAGGGCTAGTGAGAAGTCCGGATTGCGGTTACAGGCACACGACAGTACTCACGAATATGCGCGTAATCCACGTCTCCACCACCGCGAAGCTCTCAGGCAGAATCGAGAAAAGACCCATGCCGGCACGAGACGGAAGCTTGCACACGCGACTGCAAAGCAGCAACTGGCGTGCTGAGTGCGGAAGAATAGGAGGTTCCAATAGCAGAATCAATGGGTACGAGGAGGATTGCACGCCCACGACACCCAGCGACACTCACGAGTAGGTACGTCTGTACGTACGTAAGTTTGTATAGCGATGGGGAAATCTGGCCGAGGGGCTGCGGATAGGTGCCCGGCCACGCCACACGTGTGGAGACAGGCGGGTCGTGGCTGGTGCTCTTTGCCCGGCTGCATCCCGGTCGAGGGGGCCAGGGATGATGCATCCACCCCTCAACACCCACCACTGGCTCTCTACGCTGGATGCAGCTGACAGAAGCCTCAGCCTTAGATGCGCACTTGTATCGTCGCTCCACGAATGGTTGACCGGCTCTCTTGGCACTGCCCTCCCAGAGCCAATAAGCACATGTTCGGCATGCAGTACCACCACCCTCCAGAGGGCGCTGCTCGAGGCTTAAATGCCCCTCCGCTGTGACAGCACCTGGATCCTACCCATATGTAATGCCTTTTGTCGAGAACCGTCCCCTGTATCATTATTGAATCATTACCACCTACATTCCAACTACAGCCGACCCTGGACCGGCGGTAGCCTTCCATGGGACACGTGCCTGGCTCCCTGCGTGTGCAAACGGCTGCCTGATTCTGTTTCCTCCCCGTCACTGCCAGCCACGAGGCTATGCCTGTCAGACTACAGCGGAGGCTCCTAGATTCTCTACCTGCCTGTGGACCCATCTCGAAGCATTACATACCATACTTTGCCCACCGTCACAAACCAGGCGGCCCTTCTCACTGCTACAGCCTGCTCAACATCCTCGCTGACTCGACGTGATATCCACAATACACTACAATACTGGACATTTGCCGCGAAACAGTTGACGGCCTTCGGCCTGCCGCATCAACATGGACGACCTCTCATTCTTGGACATGTCTGACCAGGGCAACGCAACCCTCAAAGCTGTGCTTGCGGGCGGAGAGGTTCGTCTGATTTCGTGTCGTATCTGCCCATACATGTTCCTCGACAGATGCCCGTTGCTGTACCACGCATTCGAATACGGCTTCAATGGTTGTCTTCAGGCCAGCATCGAGGTTCCATCTGCAAATGGACTTATCTCGCTACTCCGCTACTGCTACACCGGTAGCTACCTCCCATCCACTGCGGATGGCGAACCTCCCTTGTTGCTTCCACATGTCGAGGTTTACAAAATGGCCAAAGACTTTGATATTCCCGAACTGCAGCTCCTCGCCCACGGCAACTTCACCTGCCAAATCGAATTTGCATGCTGTGTACCCGTCCCGCCACAAGATCTGCTCGAAACCATTCGTTTCGTATACCAGAACTACTACAGCAACCTGGCGCGCCAAAAGCACGACCTTGTTGGTACGCTCCTTAACTACATCATCTCAAGGTTCATGGATTACAACCTAGGGGAGGATGCGGACTTCATCAAGCTCGCGACCGACATCCCAGAGTTCTGTCAAGACCTCTGTTCAACAAACATGGAGCGCAATTTTGAAGACGATTGTAAGTCTCATACATTTCTGACATAGCTGTTGGAACTGTACTAACTTCAAAAGGTGCCTTCCAAATCATACGGTTGTGTCTCGACACTCTATGCGTCCAACCCTGCACCCGACCCATTCCTACTACCTCAAAAGACCTGTTGTCAGAGGCCATTTGTGAGGAAGATATCATAATTTCGGATGAGCCAGAAAGTGAGAACATGTCCATTGTTGTTCCTGCTCTTACGTACGGAACAAACAAAAGGGAGAATGCGGGGAACACGACAGACTCCTCTACCACCACTCTTGTCCATCGACCCAAGATTGCACAACTGGATGTGATGGAAGGTGTCGAGGCCTTGTCTTCCGATGAGGATGATGGTTACTCGGTGGTATCATTGTCCGGTTTACATACTCCTACTACTTCCGACGAGCTAATGTCCAGCCCGGAGTTGGTTCCTACACCCGTTGTCGACATTCTGGCCGCCACCGGCACTGACTATACATCTGATGATGAATGGACCATAGCCCAATAGCATGTTGCTGTCGCTCGCCCTACCAGAATTAAGGGCCACTGTTCATAACAAAAATATTTGCGGTTTCCGCTTGGACTGATATACGTGTTGTAGGAGTTACGAAGAATAACAAAAGGCAAAAACAGGCGTACTTATGAAACGATTTGATTAGATTTAACTTCTGGCATATGCAACACTAGGGCTTGGGTTTGGGCGTGTCACTCATGTCACTGGGCAGCGAGGCCTGGACTACATAATCTAAAACTTTGGGTGACGTAACGTGATCTATTGAAGACATGGCGAGATGGTTATTGTATAGAGTAGCTCCAGCTTTAACAATACATAACATGATCATCTTTCACTTTTCATGCTCTTCTCCCCCTATTGCTTGGTTTGATATTCTCCAGGGCGTGCTTGAATTGTAATGTTGCCTCTGTTTGAGTTCGTCGTTTCTTAACCATAAAACCAGAGACAGATGATTCAAATCACATGGTCTTCGGAAGAACGGTATCTGCCTATGGAAACGAGTGAGGATTAAAGCAGATATCTGATCTTCTCGCATAGGAAGACAAATGTCTAGTTGTCAAAAACTTCATGGACTTCTTGATGCCTATGTTCCGTGGTTTTGTGCTCAGTCATTGGATTTCTTAATGAAAAGCAGGCAATGCTCGACCTACAAACCATCAATCGAGACGAACCATAGTCTCCCTGACCAGAATTCAAAATTCCAACGACTGCACCAATCTCAAGAGGCTCATCGCAAACTCGAGAGACGATTAACACTCATAATAACAATAACAATAACAGCACATCCAATAGCCACACGTCAATTGGACCGCAACAAAATCCTTCAACTATGGTAGCAAAGGCTCCTAGTCTCACAAAATGTCACTCCATTTCGCACAAACTCATATTACTGTGGCTATAACTACTCACCAACCCCCTAACCATCACAATTCCTCACAAACCACAAACTACCATCCCCGAACAACTAAACACCACCCTCACTCTCACCACCCTACCACCCTCACCACCAAACCACACTCCCATCCAAATAATTCCACCCTATCGAATCCAAATTCAAACCACAAATATGCCCTTCCGGATCCCCCAACCGATCACCAAACCCCCACCCACACCCAAACCAAAACCCACTCAACCCCAACTCCCCTCACCCCCACACTACACCCTCACCCCCACCCATCCCTGCTTAGCCACCTTAGCCGCCCGCCTAGCCTACACATCCGAGCCCCGCTTCCTACCCAACGGCGAACTCACACGCCCAGACCCCATGCCCGGCTATATCCCTGTGCAGCACGACGACCGGCTGCCACAGCATCCCCGGCCCGCCAGTATTTCATCCTGGCATTCGGGGCGTCGGGCCGAGAAAAGGCGGGAGGCGAAGCCTACTTCTACCTGTGCTTCGACGACCACAGAAGGACGAGTAGAAAAGAAAAAAGGGAGAGAAGAGGCGAGAGTAGGAACGACGGCGTTGCGGCACATGGAGTTGGCTATGCGGCCGAAGAGTGCGTCTGCGCAGGGTCAGATGAGGCATGAGGGCTGGCATGTGTGTGAGCATACTGCTGCTGCTGCGGCGGGGATGGACGGGAGTAATGGGAATACGACAGTGCCGCCGCGGGAATCTGGGAGGGGAGGTGGGGAGGGGAAGAGATATGTACGGTGTACGTGCTGTGGGCGGGAATATCAGGCAAAGTCGCCGGCGGAGCTGAAGCCAAATACAAAACCCAGCATATGTAGGGATTGTGGAAGGAGGATGAATGTGGAACACGGTGAGAGCGAGGAGATGAAATTGTAGATAGACGAGTATGCAATGTAAAAGAATGCGTGGGAACGTTGTGAACACCGTATCCATCTTACTCACGAGTTTGTTATTCTTTCAAGGCCCGACAACTCAAGACCACATGAAATGTCCAAATCCAGAAGAACCCGGTAAAGTAGTCTCGTCCTGATTGATCTCAGTGGCAGACGGAGAAGAATCAAATACGAACAGCATATCAATTTTGAAAAACTCTTTTCTTTGTAGCAGCAGGGCCGCGCATACTTTACATGTTAAAAACCACATTAACCGTTTGGAACGAGATCAAAAGGACATCCATATGTGCAAGAAAACTTTGTTTCGACGGTACAGAAACCAGGACATCCTCCATGTAGCTATGACAGTCGTAGGGAGACCGTCTCAAAGGGAACTAAACCTCCCATGCCAGATAGCGCATCAGGACGATGCCGCGCCAGAATAGTAAAGGTACATCAAGGATCCAAGGCCCCGGAGTAGGAAAGGTAATAATCAGTCTCATTGGCCTCATGTCGCACAGTCATACCTCCGGATATCCTTAGGCTCCATTTTCGCATAATCCATGTCCACAGTGGGAAGCCTCGGAGCGTCAATTTAGAAAAAAAAGAAATGATACTTCAGGCACCACACAGGCCTACTGGATGTACGTCAGTAGATGCGCGAGAATACGACACCAGGGCAGAGCCAGAGGTGTTCGACATACGTTGCCAGTCATGCTCTTCTGTTCTAATAGCGACCGCGGGGTGGGTAGTCAGCCGGTGGGGCATCGTAGGGTGGGCGTCCTCCCGGGCTGCGGGGACGAGCACCACGCGGGGAAGGTGGTCGTCCTCCGTCGTAAGGGCGCCCGTGGCCGTTCATGTAAGGGTCGTCATAGCGACGGGGTGGAGGTCCGGCCCTAGCATCATAAGGATCGTCAGGGTAACGCGCGCGCGGTGGGCCATACTCATCAGGCATGCGACCACGAGGTGGCGAACGTCCATAACCGACGTCACGCCTGTCATAGAACTCGCGGGGTGGTGTGCGCCGGCGGTAGTCGTCGCGTCGAGGGCTGTAACCACGAGGGGGGCCGCGACGGTCATAGTAGTCGTCGTACGGCGCAGGTGGGTAGCCGCGGCGTCCCATAGGGGAGCGCGATCGATATCTGTCTCGGCCCCGGTCATCGGGACCACCAGGGCCTCCGTAAGGAGCCCTAGGCTTAAAAGGTGGAGGTGGGGGAGGATCAGAGACGTCTTGGATGCAGGTAACCTCCTGCCCCTTGAACTCACGGCGGTCCAGTTTCTCCACTGCAGTCTTCAGATCGGCGGCCGTCTCATATTCGACAAATCTTAATAGCGTCAGCATGCCGTCAGGAGGCCTTTACTGTAGTGCACTCACCCAGTGCCATCGCGTTCACGGCCAACTTCAGAGTAGACGACGTCCAATCCAGATTGACGGGCAAAATCTTTCAGGTCCTATACATTCGAAGTTAAGCGAGGTCCAAATCCAGAATGTATAACGGGAAGCACGCGAGAATAAAGCCATTACTGATCCGGGAACGGTACGCTGACCCTAACAGGAAACTGGGGAAATCCAATGATCGGGGAGTCTGACCTGCCAGCTGGTCTCCACCGGAAGATTTGCTATTCTCATCCGGTATGGCGTACGTCTAGGACGTGGTGGGACGCGCTCGTGGGGAGTAAAGTTCTCGTTGCGGGCGCGCGAGCCGCGAGCGAATTGGACAATGAGGCGCTCGCCCATGAAATCGGAACCATCTTATAAAAGGTTAGGAGGACGTGTCTGGAGGAATTGAACGCGACAAACTACATACGGAAAGCTACACAGGAATTAGCACTTCTCTGATCTATTGGGTGGTGAACCAAGCTTACCAGGAACGACGTCACGAGCGTCCATGGCGTCCTTGTACTCGATGAAACCGAAACCGTTCATCAACTTGATCTCGGTAATCTCACCGGTGCCATGCGTCTGAAAGTGGCCTTCGACGTCTGCCTTGGTGGCATTACGGGGAAGGTTGCCTAGGTATAGGCGCGTAGACGATACCTCAGTCATGGCGATGGGGGTTATGGTGGAACTTTGGCCTAAGGATAACCTAGTCTGGATAAAATGGTGAGCACATGTCCATGAGTAAGCGGAGAGCCAGCGAAGGAGTGCGCATCGTGCCTGCTAGATATGGGAGGCTCCGTTTCAGAGACGCGACACCAGGAAACCAGCGTCCAGCTATGCGCGCAACTACAAGGACCGGGATAGACGCGCGAGGAATGGCCAGAGAATGCAATGCAGGCAGCTAGTCGTACCTTGGAGATTGATGGAGGTGGCGAAGGGTGGATGCAGGGCAGTGGTAGAAGGACCTAAGTGGTGAAGGGCCTGGAGGGAGCCGGATGAGCGCAGATGTCGCGCGCTCGAGTCTGAGGAGAGAAATTAGTATGCCCGGTATCGCGGCAGCGGGGTGCAAGCAGAGATGATGGCCGAGCTGCTGTTGATGTGACAGGCCCCGGCGTGGTTGTTGGGTGGAGAGTGACGAAGGGCGCGGAGACGAACTTCGCCCAACGCCGCCTTACTTGGCTAAGCTAGAGCACGGACATCACGTGCATCTCGCTCTCTCTGAGGCCCATGGATGTCCTGCCGAGGCTACCACTCGGATGTGACCTTACGCAAATGCATGTGCTATCATACGCTGAGAGGCCATGCTGAATACGTATCCCGACCACATATTCACCAATACGAAATGCTTGGCAATCAAGATATGTCATTCATGTGCCTCTGTTGCAGTCGGCAATCCTCGCTTGGGCAGCAACAACAATTGGGCTGGCCACTTATACATACACATGTGGTCTCTCCTAATATACATGTCGGGTGATGTCTTACTTTGCGCATTGAGCTGCCTAAGTTGAACAGGTATGGAGCTCACCAGGTGACTGTCGTTAAGTCAGGACGTACTTTGGTCCTTCGCCGCCCTGCGGTGTTTGCCAGTTGATATCCTGATCCGGTACTTTGATATCGCAAGTCTTGCAGTGAACGCAGCTACAACCAGTTAATCAGAATGTGCTCAATCTTGACTAGCTCTTTTGGATACTTACTTCTGAGCGTTGATTTGGAACCGGACGCCCAACTCTTTGCTGGCATCCTCGACATACTCATACACACCCGCGGGACAGAAGCGATTTTCGACACCCTTGTATTTGGGCCACTCCCTCTTGGCATGCTCATCAAGATCCTTTACTTGGAGATGGCAGGGCTGATCCTCCTCATGATTTGTGCCGCTACGGCTGACACTGGTCAATATGTCGAAACTGATCTTGCCGTCCGGCTTGGGGTATTCGATCTTCTGGTACTCATCTGCAGGTTTTGTTGCTGCATGATCAGGCTTCCCATGTTTCAGTGTCCAAGGCGCTTTGCCTCGGAGGACGTATGCCTCCAACCCTGAGTACACTATACCTCCGTATACACCAAGACGGGTATGGAAAGATGGTCTCATGTTTCGCACCGTCTTCAACTCTGACCAGATTGGTGACTTGCGCATCTTGTCTTCATAGCCATACAGAAATACAGTCCCGCCGTCTGTGTTGGCTTGGAGAGCGTCCCACGTCGCCTCGGCGGCCAGCATACCTGATCTCATCGCATTGTGTGTGCCTTTGATTTTCGGTAGGTTGACCAAGCCCGCTGCATCTCCCAGGAGGGCACCACCGGGGAAAGCAAGTTTAGGGATGGACTGGAAACCACCCTCGATCAAAGTCCTTGCGCCGTAGGAGATGCACTTGCCACCCTCCAACACATCCTTGTATAACGGATGGTGTTTCATCTTTTGGAACTCGCCATAAGGCGCCAGCCACGGATTGGGGTAGTCAAGCCCGACCACTAAGCCAATACTGACCAAGTTGTCGCCAAAATGGTACATCCAGCCCCCTCCATAGGTGTCCTTGGGAAGCGGGTAACCCAGAGAATGCACGACCAGACCAGACTTGAACTTCTCGGGCTGCACTTCCCAGACCTCTTTGATTCCGAGGCCGTAGGTTTGATGCTGGCTGTCCCGCCTCAGGTCGTACTTTTTGATAATCTGCTTTGACAAGCTGCCGTGGCAGCCTTCACCAAGCAATGTGACACGGGCATGGAATTCCATTCCTCGTTCAAAAGAATCTTTGGGTTTTCCCTCTCGCGATATGCCAAGATCGTTGGTGGCTACACCCCGTACAACGCCTTCGTGGTTATAAAGCACTTCGGACGCAGCAAACCCAGGGTAGACCTCTACGCCGACCTCTTCTGCTCGTTCGCCGAGCCACTTGACCATTTGGTTCAAGCTTATGATGTAGTTGCCATGGTTGTTCATCTGCGGGGGCTTGGGGAGGGGTATGGCGCGGTCCCTGGTCATGAAGTACATGTGATCCTCCTTCGCAGGCGTAATGTCAGCGAAGCGGTTTAAGTTATCCTCCGATCTCCAGTCCGGAAGTAATTCATCAAGAGCAGAAGGCTCAATGACGTTGCCTGAGACGATGTGATCACCTAGCTCTCCAGCCTTTTCCAGCACCAAAACTCTGAAGTCCTCATTGCCTGCCGCTGTCGCAAGTTGCTTCAGCTTTATAGCCGCCGACAGACCGGCCGGGCCCCCACCCACAATGAGCACATCGACCTCATCGGATTCGCGCTCAATCGACTTGGGGTCGAATGCGTCGTCTACCGCAGCCAATCGTGTGCGTGGTGTTGTGCAAAAAGGTCGTCTTTGGCCGGCAATTCGGAGTGCCGGGCGGTAGGATCCTGACACACTTCGTATACGCGGTGACGCGCATGCAATTGGTCGTGTTGCTATGCGTGTGGATTGCGACGTCGTGAGCAGCCGTCGTGTTATGGACGCGGGGATGGACCGTGTAGCCATTGTGGCGTGCTGGACAGGCATTTTACGTTGATGGACGTGGAGAACCCAGGTGAGAAGAGGGACGGGATCTCAAAGGCTTGTATATGTATACGCGTGACTGGCTACACTCCACTAGCCAGCACTCAACCGTCCGGGTGGCGACGAGACGGAGGCACCAAAAGACTGCGCCGTCCTTGACCAGACTTCGAAAATGACGATGTCCAAAAGTCGCAGCCGAGGCTAGAGGCTAGGTGCGGGATTGTAACGGGGCGCACGCCATTGGCCAGCGCTCCCGTCACCCCGTCACCCGTCACTTTGTAATTCCTTCGCTCCACTCTCCACATTCAACACCTGTCAAAACATGTACAGCTGACCCGACTATCAGCACGGTGGCGGTTGATTTACAGCGTACCTCTAACCATGTAACCCACACGTTCAGAAACGAGGCGTTGATCCCCCGGCTCCTGTATGGCTCGTGGCGTGTCAACACCACATACTGAGACGTTCCGCAGCGTTGGTGAACTGCAATGGGCCCACGCGGTACATGGAACCCACAAAACCGATCAGCTACAGGGCAGGAATCCTGCTGTCGTCGTTCTGCTTGAGAGGCTGTGAGCGCAGCTGTTGTAGTTGTTTGACATATCACCTACTGTGTACACGCATCGAATGCCCCTGACTCGAGGCAAAATCTACCAGTCTCTTGTACCCCTTCACCAGTGCAGAGCGGAAGGACGGCAAGCGACTGGACAGTAGTAGATCAAATTAGAAGACGCATGGCCTGTATTCAGATCATTCCCCTTCAATATCATCTCCTTCAAAAAGCAGTTTTCGTCAAGACCTTTGAGGCTTCTTGGTATGTACTTGCAGCGGGCACATCTCGGTGGGTCTGAAACCAGCTGAGATTCAGGCCCACGTACGACGGCAAACCTCAGTCATACATCAAACTCCAAACTTATGCGTTTAGGATAGTAATTTCTCCGCATATACCCCCCCGGCCCTGTCTGCAACAAGCTCTCAAACTGTACACGTTCGATTTCTAGGCCGCATCTCTGCATGACGACCGCCTCCCCGGCGTCAGGCGTGCTTCTCGCTTCTCATCCACAATTCCATATTCCTATTCATGCGTTTTCATTCGACCGTTTACAGCCAAGCCGCGGCCCCGATCCCATAGTAGACATGATCTACGCTTGTAACTGGAAGCTTAGCTCTTGTTCCTGTGAGAGAATTATGGGCCTGATCGGCCAGACCTCTTTGAGGCCTGACCCTCTCCAGGCATCCTCCAACGGCGCATGTGTGATGTGCTCGGAAGACCATGAACACCCATCTCAGCAAACGCGGCTTGTTCTATATTCAGTACTTCTCTGTTCAGGGAGGTCGACATGGTGCATAAGGTCAAGTTTGTATATAACCTGATTCCCTTAGAAGCTTACAACATCACGCTCACCTTCCATCATTCGGATCATTCTTTCGTGCTGAGCACTTATTTTTATTTTCACTTCGATTCTCAAGAGCTGTGCTCAATTTACATTTCGACACATCTCGTTCCAATCCTTCAACTTTAACCGAATACCATCATTATGAAGACCTCTATTCCCCTTCTCACAATTCTTTCCGCCTCCTTTGTGGCAGCGGCTCCAGCGCCTTTCGCAGGCAATGGAGCAGCAATCGCTGCTCGCTCCCAGGACACGGCTATTGCCAACCTGAAGTTGGGCCGTCGCGAAGAAGAGGTTGTGCATAAGTTTGGCGAAAAGGCCCTAAAGCTCCGCGGTGTGCTCTTGGCCGCACGGGGTAGTATGGTTATGGATAATGCTAATGCAGGAGATGCTGCTGCACAGCAAGATGAGGCTGCCGCTGAAGCTGATCAGGCACAACAAGATGCTGCTGCTGCCGATGACCAGAACGCAGCTGCTGACCAGAACGCAGCTGCTGA